AAAGCTATAACGAATTTACTATGATTGTTTTAGATAGATTATCATTTAAGCATGGATTTAAATATATATTATTTTAATGTATATATAATTTTGAGTTCCTACATCTAGATCAGATCCGTATAGACTAATTTAAAAAAAAAAAAAAAACTCAGGATAGTCCAATTTTTAGTGAGTTACAGAGCTATCTTTGGATGGGTACAAATGTACCACGGTTATTGATCTACGTATAACCGTAGGGTTAAATTGTAATTTTGCATTTAACATGCTACATGTGTTGTCTTTCCATGAAAAAAAAAATACTATACTAACAATTTAAGAGATATTTGAGAAAATATTTAAAACTAGCAGACCTGGCAAACGTTGTTTTTCCTTATCAGAATTGCATCAATATAGGGTTTGTAAAAATTAACGAATTCAGGAAATTTTTTTCAGAAACTATTTACCATTAAATTTATTAAATTTTCGCAATAAAAAACCGGTAAGGAAAGTTCAAAAGTCGGACGGGGCCGACTATTTGATACCCTTCACCACTATGGGTATATACAAGAGGGTAATGGGTAAATTTTTCCAAAACTTAATAATTATAGGGACTTTGGTGTACCATTTACATTAAATCGGGCGAAAATATATATGCGAGCTATATCTAAATCTGAATCGATTTTAGAATGATGTGTATTAAGTTTTGGAAAAATGTACCCATTACCCTCTTGTATATACCCATAGTGGCCCCGTCATATAGTCGGGCCGTCCGACTTTTGAACTTTCCTTACTGTTTTTTTTTATTGCGAAAATTTAATATTAATGCAATTCTGATATTAATGCAATTCTGATAAGGCAAAACAACATTTGCCGGGTCTGCTAGTACTCTATAAATTGCCTTTAATTTCATGTAGAGAAATGAACTTCTCTCTAAAGTATCGGTATCTGTAAAGTATCGGTATATTATATATCCCACATAATGGTAGGCAAATCGCTCCAGCCGTTCCTTAATAATATATTTTTCAAGATTTTCGCGCATTTTTCTCAAAATTTACTTTCTTAAAAATATTCCCACTTTAGTTTCAAGCACCCAATCTCTAATCGAGCAAAACACAACGGAGCTATTTAGCGCGCCATGTGTTGGACGAACGCCCCATAGAGCATATACATAAAGTTTGATCAAAATCGGTGCAGTAGTTCTTGAGTTACGGTGCAAAAACGCAAAAAACTAAATATTGCGCCATCTGTCGGAGGAACTTTAAACTACACAGAAAGACTCCTCACGCCCCATAGAGCTCGTACATACAATTTGGTAAAAATCGGTGCAGTAATTTTTGAGTTTAGCGATCACGAACATACCCGTAATTTTTATATATATAGAGATTCCATTAAAAGTGAAAAATGTGCAGGTAATGTGTTCGTTATGATGTTAATGTGGTATAGTATAATTTTTACTTCCAATTGATATCATATTTTATTTATTGTTTTTAATGAATGTGAATTAGCTCGACATTTATATCTGTTAACACTTTTAACGGATACTTTCAGTGGAACTTTAATTTTATTATATAATCATGTCAAATCATAGCAATATTTAATTTTTGTATGAAAAAGTTGTTAGAAGTTGTAGCCTTCGTTTGTCATCCTAGTGATTCATGGTAGGCTTTTAGAGGACAAATGTTTCCAAAAGTAATGAGATTTCGACTTGTGCTGGAGTATTTTCATGCAGATTCAAGGTATACCACATTACCTGCATTTGTTTTTCAGTTTACAAAAAAGAGACTATACCACATTAGCAACCTGTACCACATTTGGATCACTTACTCTATGATGAACAATGTGAAAAATAAATAATAACAAGTAAAAAAGCGTTATGTTCGGCCGGGCCGAACTTTGGATACCCTCCACCATAGAAATAAAAATATAGGGAACATACCAAAAAGTGTACCTATACCGTACATTTGTACAAACCGATTATGGTTCTAAATACTGGACCTACTGGAAGAAGCAAATTTGGTCCAGAGAAACATGGGGACCAAATTTGCTTCTTCCAAAATTAGTTCAAGTTCGATCATGGGGAATATCGGTCCACTCCTTCTGGTACCTCCCACACAGGGGCTAGGCCTAAATGCGGGTTACAGTTCATATATATGAACATATATAAGGTTAATTATCGAACCTTATGTTCTAGTTTTTTTTCGTATCTTCCGCAGATGAAATGATTTCAACAGAGTCTTAGAACCAATCCCAAACACGGAACAAATCATATAACTTTTTAATATAAAAAAGTGGTAATATGGGGACGACCCCAAAAAGGGGGCGAATTTTAAAAAAAATTGGTAGGGAGTTTTGTTACCGTAAATGACTACAAAATACCAAATTATAGCGAATTCGGTTGAAAAACGCGCCCAAGAACCCCAAAATACTGAAAATTGGAGGTGCCCTTATATGGGCGCTATCCGACAAAATTGACCCATATTTATAATTTTTTGTGGAGGGATTTGGTACTCATTAAGAACTCAAAATACTAAATTACAGCCAATTCGGTGGAAAAACACGATCAAAACCCCCAAAATACTGAAAATTAGGAGATACCGTTATAATTTTTTGTGGAGACATTTAGTACCCAATAAGAACCCAATGTAGCAAATTTCAGCGTATTCGGTTGAAAAACGCGTTCAAGAACCCCAAAATGCCGAAAATTTGGAGGTACTGTAATATGGGAGCTATGTCTAAACATAGACCGATATATCCCATCTTCGAACTTGACCTGCCTGCAGGCAAAAGACAAACCAATGCAAAATTTCAGCACCCTACAACAGACGGACGGACTGACATGGCTAGATCGTCTTAGAATTTTACCCTGATCAAGAATATATATACTTTATAGGGTCGGAAATGTATATTTCGATGAGTTACAAACGGAAGGACAAAATTAATATACCCTCCATCATAGCATGGATGGTATATTAATTTTATATATAATAAAAAGTACATGTTTTCTTTATGGTCTAGAGAATTTGCTAACGCAGGAATATTGATCTTAAGCATTTTAAATATCTTTATGTGAGTGATCGGATATTATGATATATTCGCAAATTCCAGTAGTAGAATAAACCGACTACACTGCTCTGCCTACTGGTTTATGTTTTAAGGGACCATCACCCCCCCCCCCCCCCATTCTCGATTTTAATTTTTCATTTTAATTAATTCATTTTAAAATAGAAGAAAAATAATTTACATAAAAATTTTGTTATTGTTTTGTTGTTGTTTTTTGTAATTAAAGAAAAGTCCTTATTTTTGATGGTGGGCAACAAAATGGTGGACCTTTGAAAAAATATTTTTGGGAAATCGCCGATTTTTGACCACAATCTAAGTTAAAAAATAAGGAAGATCTTCACCGATTGGCTTTATCCTAGTTCATACCATAGCTATACACACACAGAGAAACGTGTAAAAATTTGAAATCGATTGGGTTATTAGTTTTTGAGTTATCGTGCCCGCCATTCGCAAAAAAATATTTAGAGAAAAACGTGTTTAAAGTTTGAGAAGCCCTTCAGCCGTCACTTGATGCTGACTCAATAAATCGGCTATATCTTCAAGAGTTCTTGAGATTTTCACTTGAAATCTGGTAGGGACATTCTTTAATTAGTGTAGATTCGAATTATACCAAAAACATTTTTGACCCCGAGAATGGGGGGGGGGGGTCCCCTTAAGTGAATATTATATAGTTGTGTCGTTATATTTCTGGTATTATACATTTTTTGAACCTAATGGGTACAGAAAGTTCATTTCGGTTCTCCCTAACTTGGTATATTTCTTAGAAATGAATTCGATAAACACCACTGCAAATGTAGAACTCCAATATTTAATGCCAATTGTGTTATGCTATATACGAAATTCAAATAGAAAAGTTGTTTTATTGCTACACATGGGAGTCACCCATTTATTGTCATTTTTAAAATCCCTTAAAACAGTGGGTGATGATAATGGTCAATCATTTAGTAGAAGGGGATATTGTGCTCGACAATTAAAACATCTGTCGCAAATCGAAACAAATAAAACAGAAAAAAGATTTTCATTTGTAAAAATTTTAATTTGTTTTATTAAACATAATTTAAAAGTCTTATATATTAAATAATTAAATAAAATTTACTAAACTAAATATAAATTTAATAATAGAATTAAAAATATAAAAAAGAAATATTTTGAAATAATAAGAAATTGATTTTTGATTATAAGCTCGATAGGTTTGTACTAAAACTCAGTGACATTGTTCCTTTTGCTTAAACGGACCAACTAAGTAAATACGTATGTATGTATATCGTCCGCTCGCCTTATAACCAAACACACACCAGGGTTGGAGTAATGATGCTGTTAGGGTGATTATTATCAACCCCAGGCTGGTTACCCAGGTCCGGCCGTGGGTATGTCGCATTTGATTTGGCCTTTTGTTTGAATTGAACGTTGCTAACTTTTGCTACTCCCCGTGAACAATGCTGGCAAAACTCATAATTTATTGGTTTTTTGACATCGGAACACACAAGGGTTAGTGTGATTGTGTGTCCTGTGATGTTGTTGTTGATTTCGCTGTGCATTGCATTTTGAGGGAGAGTGTGTACTTCCTTCCTGTGGATGTGTTGTGTGTGAATGCTGGTTGCTCGTTTGATTGCCTGCTGGTTGTTTGGTTGGCACAAACACACACACCCATCCACCCTTGTGGCCTGGTTTTGTAAATATTGCACTGCTTGGCATTTGCGCCTGCGCTCCTTTGTTCTCTGCTGCTATCACATAGCTCGCTTAGCTATGGCTATGGGTGCCTACATTTCGGTTCGGTCAAATCCCAACCGAAGACACCGTTGGATAGCCACAATACTGCTGAGCATACTGTGGAGATTTTGAACCTCGAAAGTTGTCGACGACTTTGTTGTCCATTTGCTTTGGTAAATGGCAAAAATCTGGCTTTCGTGGCTGTTCATGGCTGATCAATGCAACGATGGGTTGCTGCATGGGTCGCTGATTTAGGCCATTTGATACATTTGTTGTTGGTGCTGGTGTTGAGAATAACCAGTTTGGGCGAAATGAGCAGCGGTGCTGTATTGCTGGGCATCGGCCAGATAATGAGCGTGTTGGTGCTGATGATGAGGGTGGTGTGGGTAGGCATGTTGAGCTGAGGTTTCATATTGTTGGCCGTAGTGTTCGGGCGAGTGATGATGGTGGTAGGCGGCAGCGGCGGGGAATGATTGTGGTCCGGTTGACAAGTAAGCGGGGTACGATCCTGCGGCAGCAGCAGTGTTGGGTGCCACGGTTTGGTGTGCGGCAACAAATGGAACTTGACCATTGACATTGGCATCCAATGGCATGGCGGCATAGTTGAGACCATGTTCCATGGGTCCTTCTAGGGTGCGATCCTTCTTGGACTTCATGCGACGGTTTTGGAACCAGATCTTAATTTGACGTTCAGTCAAACCCAAGGCATTGGCAATGTCAATGCGACGACGACGGGTAATGTAACGGTTGAAGTGGAATTCCTTCTCCAATTCCAAAGTTTGGTAGCGGGTGTAGGTTTGGCGGGTGCGTTTTGAGTCTTTGCAATCTATAAAAAAATAATAAAAACCAGTTTATTAGTATATGAAGTTCCAGGAAATTGTATTGTTTTTAGAATTTTTTAAAAAATGAAATGATTTTCTTTTTGCCAAAAGGAACGCCCAAACGCTTGCAGGTAGCAAACAGGCAGTCCTGGTTGGCACAAAACTGTCAATCATAAAATCATAAACATTTTTTAAGGGAAATTATGAGTTATTGGTGTTGGGAAACCTACCTGATGCAGGGCTGTCTTCGCAATTCGACCAATTGTAGTCGTTTGCTGACATCATTTGATTGAATTCATGTTGTTGTTCGGCGGTTTGATTGATTTGGCTGACATGTTTGTCGTTGGGCGATAGGGGTGGGGTGCTGATGCCATCGACCAATGAGGCGGGAGTAGCGGGTTGAGATACGTTTTGTTTCATGTTGTTGTTGCCGTGTGTGGAAACTTTGAGGGATTGGGGCGAGTAGACATCCAAGTAATCCACATCACTGCGTTGGGGAGACAAAATGCTGTGTTGGGTGGCAGGAGTGTGGGCGGCCAAGAAATCCTGTTCGTAGCTGCTGGGTGGTGTGGCACTGGGCATTGAGATTTGTTGCTTTTCGCTGGCAACTGGAGCTGGGGCCTTGTTAACTTTTTCGAAGGTGGTGTAATAATAATCGGGAGAGTATTTCAACTTCTTGACGGGGTTGGTCAACAAGGCACGCAATTTGCTTGGTGGCTCTTCAACTTCGGGTTTGGGTTCTGGTTTGACTTCTTCTTCCAATTCGTGGGCTTTTCTCTTTAATGTTTCTTTGGGGGCTTCGAGGGCTTGAGCTGGCTGTTGTGGTTGTTGGATATCCACTACGCTTTGGTAGTTGTAGTAATCATTGTACAGAGATCCATCCATAACGGGAGCATTGTATTGGGCGGCATAGTTGGGATTGTAGGTGGCTGGATTCCAGGTGCTGTTGTTTTGCTGATAATAGCTGTTGCTATTATCATAGTATGTGGGAGCGGAGTAGTTGTATATGTTGGAGGCGGTGGTGTTGTTGGTGGCGAAATCGGCATAATAGTTAGTGGCGGCCATTTTTCTGTTTGTGTGTGTTTTTGTTACGTTGAATTAAATGAAAAACTAAAATTTATTTGAAATATTTTCTTTTTTTGCTGTGTTAAACTTTGTAGTATTCCTCTACTGAATCTTTTACTCTTAACTAAACTACTGAGATGTGATCAGGACGAGGATGTGATTGCGACTGTGCTGCTCTCTCCGAATGCTCGGCTTAATATAGCAAAAATCTCTGCACGGCCTGCCACACTGTGTGTACACAACACAAACACCAGGACCTTGTGGCACACGACTTTTCCACATTGGGTTTTGGCAATTGTTGTTGTACGCCCTGCCAGCTCGCAGTTTTGCTCGTCATTGCACATAAATATCCTTCGCATGACACTTTGACACATGCTGGGTGTGTGTGGCAATAACAAAGGAACTCTCATCAAATTCTAAATCGTTTTCCCTCATTCTAGCACTGAGAGTGTATTTGGCCTGGCTCACAAGGGAGAGTAACGTTAGAAGAGAGCACAGAGAGAGCGATATGTTAACATTAGTTATGCTTAAGTAAGGTCAGTGTCAGTCAACAAGGACAAGTAGGAGAAATTTTATCCGTAGAGGAGAAATTTATCCGTGCCATTGGTTCTCTAAGAGGGCACACAAGCAAGATGCCCTCCTGAGATTACCTGCTGTGCTCTTTATTACCCATATACATTTAGCATAGGCAGCACATAATCATCGCGAAATATGCAACCTCGATTTCGAGGTTATCCGTCACCTTAACATTTCCCCTGCTCGTCGTAGTAAAGACATATTATGAATTGTCGGAGAAATTCATAAAATGAGGAGAAGAGACTCACGACCGAGAGTACGATGATCAACAATTTCTTTTGCATACCTCCCACTGTCTATAATTAAGATGCTCTGATGTCCGTAAGAAGGTGGCATTGGCATTGAGCCCTGCAACAACAATTGCCCATCTCAACTAATTGCCATAATCATAAAGACATAAAAATTTGTTCAAATAGAAGCTACAATAGCAGCGATCATAAAACAAAAGCTGTGTGTCCTTTAACGAAAAGAAGGCATGCCATTGTCAGTGAAAAAGTGTAAATTCCTTCGTCTAGCTGACTGTTGTTGCATTCAGACTTCTTCAGTGTCCCAAACGAGTCCCAGAATTCCGTTTTCATAATTCCGGAAATTCGTAAGTTCATAAAGATGAAAGAAATGGAAATATAGAAAATATAATCACATCAACTGGTTGTTGTTCATCATAAATCGCGCAATACTCGCGCACTCCTTTTGTCAGCCAAACAATGGCAACATCAGCAGCAGCAAGAACAACAACTACTGGCAGACGGACAGCCAGCCAGCCAGCGAAACGTGCGTGCCTCTCGTGCTATTTACATAACGTGCTCAAGGATTTCTTCCATGACATCCACACCTTTTTTCGTCGTCCTTATGTGAAATCTATCACATCAATCAAGTCATAAATGAGAAAATATTAATTGTATACCGGTAGCCTAAAGCCTCGTTTATAACTCGAATGGCAGAAATATTTCCGTCTTTTATTGCCGTGTTGAAGTGAAAGGGTTAAGTAAATAATGGAAATATCGTCCAAATAGGGCTTCTTAGCTTATGTAACTTTCTTGGGTTTGTATACGGGCGTTTTTCACAGTTGTTGAAATGGCCCAATATACATATTTACATATGAAGGCAATTCGTTCATTTTGTGTAAGATCGTTAAGTGGTTTTTTCAAAAAGAGAGAGAGAGTTTTGGAAAAATAAAAGATTATAAATATTATTAGAATTTACTCATTTCATAGCAATATTAAAAAAAAAATATTTCAAATCCTAAATTAAAATCATTATATATTATTACTCAAAATTAATTATGTATGTTTTTTTTCAGTTCCAATCTTCCATGAGCCTTAAGACTTTCAAACGTGACCTCAAGCCACACAAAGGAATTGGAGAGGACATCATCCAATTCTAATTGCATGCAAATTAGGACATTATTACACATAAGAATTCCCATGCGAAATATATGGCGCCCAAAACAATTTGTTTCAATCATAATATATTCCTTTATTGAGAATCTTATATAAGATAAGCAAAATATATAATAATTTGCCAAGGGGGTATCTTTTCTCACTTCAAATTTGACATAACTGCACATAAAAAAGACAAATATTGTCAAAAGTTCAGCACTTTACCTCAATTTCTTTGGAATATAACGTGATTATAAAAGACGAGTGGCTATGGCTAGGTCACCATAGACCTTTACCCTGATCAAGGATGTATATGTATATATACGTTATAGGAAATAAAATGAATAATTCGAAGGGATACGAATACAATGTTCAAAATAAAATATACCCATCATAATTATAAAAACCAGCGAGCAGAGCAGTATAATCGTACAGGGCCAACCATATGATACCCTACACAACTTCCACGGAACTCTCACTTTCTGCGGATGTTCCACAGAATAAAAATTTTGCTAATTTTCACACAAAAGTCAGGGTCCTATTGACCAGCTAAATATTGACCGATATTTTTCAAAACAGGCATGCTTATTCTTTGGTCCCATCCCCTTTTCCATGTAAAATTTCGGGACATAATAACGCCCTCTGGAGCGAGCAGAAGAACCGATAAAAATTAAGTATTTGGTCCATTTCATCCCCTAAATTCATTGGCCAGAACCCTACATGCATAATTATAATAAGGTGGGTCTAGGACCAATATTTCTCTTGGGGCTGCACAAAGCTATAATACCCTGACAACATAGTTGTGTAGGGTATAAAAACCAATGAACAGAGCAGTATAATCGGACAGGGGCAACCATATGATACTCTACATAACTTTCACCAATCTCTATATTTCTAAGGATACATATTGTAAACCTGGGTAAAATTTCGCGATATTAGCACTCTCTTGACGCATACGGCACCTCTTTCGAATCATATATTCCCGGAGTAAAAAGTTTTGGTTCATTTGACCCGCTAAATATGGGCGGTTTATTATCTGACAATTATTCGAAAAAGTTGGTTTAATTACCTTCTCCATGGAAAATGTGTGATGTTCGGCTTAGAATTATGGCGTCTAGAGCGACTATAAAACCTGATAAACATAAAGTTTCGGTTAGTTTCTCCCTGAAATAGGCGTCTTCCTTGACCACAAACAGAAAATTTTCTAGCCATCAGCGCTACATTTCCGCCCTCTAGCGTTGTAATGTTAACCCTTTCAGTGTCAAAAAAAAAAAAAAAAAAATTTGTCGGAATAAAAATTTAAAATTTTGTACTTAAAATCATATGAAGGCACAGAGTTTACAAAAAAACAATTTTTATTTTAACCCTCGGACAGTTTTGTCTGTCTTTCAGCAAAAACAAAGACATCAATTGTAACGGTACATAGGATAACCGAAAAATTTCAAAAGAAGAGAGTAATTTTAAATGTCGAATATATTCGACAAAAACAATGAAAGGGTTAATACTTCGCGTAAAATTTCGTTGGGTTCGGGTCGTAATGGTAGCCTCAAAAGAGTCTCGACATTACCAAAACCAATAGAATTCATCGACAAGAAACGGTCCTACATGCAACATTTTAGGGTATAAAATTGTTGTCCATGTTTGGGTATATTCGGGTTCCAGACATACTGCTAAAAATTTTTGGATTTCCAAATGTATATGGTCCTGTCTTTAATGCAAACACATTAGAAAATTGTTAAAACAGATGTGTCCCCATAACATTTTTCTAGCTTATACCTTCTTATATCGAATCCGTTGACCACTTAGAAAACAATTCTCAGTTGGTCATTTGGGCGGTACTCCAAGAAACAGTTGCCGGTAATTGATTGATTTAGTGACATCTTTAATCCGCTAAAGTCAATCGTTATAAGCTTCGTGTTGATTTTTCGGTTTTCGGTAAAATTCCCAGTCTGTGTTTGTTCAAAGGTTATTTAAACCAAATGCCTTAATTTATCCATAACCAAGAAAACATAGATATCTCAACCGATATTCCACAGCATCAACCACTAACGCCCACCCACCCCTAAATCTGGCAAGCATTCGACACTGTATCGGCAATTCGGCATGTGTGCATTATCCTTTTTGAATTGACGTTGTCCATTTCGCATACGGTTGCCAATAAGATAGTGGTTGCAGCAGTTGTATGTATGTAGTATACATTTAGTGTGAATTTGATACAACAAGAACAACAACTCGTTTCCAAACAAAGATCAAAACTGTTGCAAAATTTATGACTTTTACCGATTTTTTTTGGGATGACAGTTTTTTCTTTCTCTATTATTCGAGTCAATTGAAAAATATCCATGTATTTTTTGTATTATTTTCAGAAGGGGGAGATTTCAATGGGAGGGTATAGACAAGGTATTGTGGGCTGTTGTTGTAGTTGCTTTTGTTTAATTGAGTTGTATCAGTGCAAGAAACTTGTTTCCCTGCTATTATTTTCGTTTTTAGGAAGTGAAATTTTCTAACTGAGTAGATCAACTAACTAGAAGGGATTAATAGATTCTTGAATTGTTAAGAGTTTATTTTTGTAAAATAAATTGATATTACAAAAATATCAATAAAAAATAATTTTTGTAGTCAAAAGTAGACATATGAAGTGTATCAAATTTAGTAAACTGCTGAACAATACATGCAAATTGTGTAATTTGTTGTCTGAAACATAAATGATTGAGGAAATGTGGAGAAAAATTGTAAAGCTACCCCTAAACTTAAAATTTTCACAGATTTTTTTTTTTGCACAGACAAAATTAATGTTTTGATCCTCTGAAGCATCAACAAAATCTGAAGGAATCGTATTACGAACTACTATCATCATCTCGCCACCTTTTAGTAGATTAGGGAAATCTCGTCCCTTTGTTTGTTCCGCAAAGAGAACTAGGTCATTCATTTAGTGCCATAATTCTGTCAATGAATTGAAAGAAAAGACCGGTCCTAGTACATATAGTTCATTTTGTGAACTAGTTACTTTGACCTAGTTCGTTTCGGAAAAACACCACCATACTT